ATAACTTTCGTTTGGTCCGGTGTAAAATCCACTACACCTTCCTGTCGGCGATGTGGTGTCCACTGGTGGATATTTTCTCCACCAGCTACTTAGCAGGAGTGAATTACACTCGACATGTGTATCAGGAATAAAGAGGAAATAAACTAGGTAAATAAAGGTGGTGTAACTGGTGTAATTTACACTGGTGGACACTGCGCCAACAGCGAACTAAAGAATATATTCTAAACCGTAATAGATACTACTCTTTAGGGAAGATTACAGTGGTCGATAAAATTTATAGCTCAATTGCCATTCTCGAGTTGTATAGTGGAAACCAAAAATTGGCATTTTTTTGTTCAAAAACTTCATTTTAAAAACGGAGAAGAAAAATCTAATTGTTCAAAATCAAATCAAATTTATTTGTTATGAAATGTTCAATATGACGTTTTGTTTCGATCATACGATTTTACGATTTGGAATATAGCAATATTGGGATACAATAAAAGAAATACCTATATATTATTTAAACATGAAGCATTACTTTCATAAATGGTACAGTACTTAATTATTAAATCCAGGTTAATTTTTACCCTTCTAGTTTAGTATTAGTTTTAATAAATAAATTAGGTTAAATCGATCCTTTACATGATCTTTATCTTAATTTATTTATACTAATGTATTTTAAATCGATTGTGTTCTGGATGTGCTGCTCTGGGAGAAAAAAATGTAATTTTTCGTTCAATTATGTAGTTATAATTTTCATTTAGTACTAATTAAGTAGGGCTCAAAGTAATTTAACTCTAAATTACAAAGTTGATTTATATCGTAACTGATAATTTTACATAATAGACCGTCAGATAGTGACTGATTTAGGTGCCCCATTTTCGCATGCAAGCCTCGAAAAGGGGTTGAAAAGTACATCGATTTTGAGTAGAATGAAAGCAAATTTACGAGCCGCCCCTGGGGATAACATATGGAAAATTCGATTTTCCTTAACAGAAATAAAAGGTGTTTTTTGGTCATTTTTCCACGCAAGCCATTTTCACTATATGATTAATTATTAGAACTAGGCTTTGGAAAACCAAAGGCTTTAATGTTGCAAGTGGCTAAAGGGTTGAAATAAGGGCGTAATCTTGTAAAGAAAAATCGATATTTTAACTGATGTTTCCATACAAGCCCGTCGAAAGTATGAATACATACATCGTCACTAGCCCGAAAAATATATTGGCTTGAATGGCGCGAATGGATAAGTGCATTTTGGAGTCGGAAAAATTACCGCAATTTTTTTTTTATTTTTGAGTTATTTTTTCATACAAGCCTTTTTAACCATAGAATGTTATTAATGTGTTAGACGTAATATTAAAATTGGCATGAGTATCGGATGTGGACGAAACGAAGGCTTGAGTCGAAAAGTTGCAGGAAAATTGTATGGAAAATGCCGCCATTTTCCCACGCTAGCCGTTTGACATATGCTTAGAAAAAGTGATTCTAAGACTATGTAACAAAAGGCTTGAGTGTCGGACATGGTCATCATATTAATTATATATAATTTATTTAACAAAAACCGAACAAAAAAAGTTTATAAATTTCCACCATTTTCCCACACAAGCCTTTTGGCATATGCTTAGAAAAAGTGATTCTAAGACTATATATAAAATATATAAAAAGGCTTGAGTGTTGAACATGGTCTTCATATTATTTATACAAAATTTTTTTAACAAAATGCTGACAAGAAAATCTATAAATATCCACCATCTTTTCACACAAGCCGTTTGGCATATGCTTGGAATCATTTATAATTCGCCATATAAAAAAAATAAAACTAAAACCTAGATATCAAAACCTAAATATCACATTAAATCATCTAAATATCGATTCTCAAAGATATTTTATATTAATTTTATTATAAGAGTTGTCTCGTGACCGGACTATTCAACGACTAATTTTATACCTTTTAAATGTTTATTAACTTAACGCCCTTTTAAATGATTTTAAAAATTCAAATATTTCAGTTGATTAACTAAATAAATGTATATCATAGTACTTAACAATTATTTAATTTGAAGAAAAATAACTAATGTAATGAACACAACAACCTGTAACTTCAATTTTAACCAAAAAAATAACGCACAATAATTATTTAATCTAATGGGTGCTATGATTGAACGTTTACGTTATCCATAACGTACATGTTAGGCCGAGTATTAACATTAACGAGGGAAGTTCGTATGATGGAAAACTTTTTCCAACACATTACTGTTATTTTCTGCTTATAATGTTCTAATTTAACAGTTTTCCATCACACAAACTTGCCTCGTTACTGTTAAAACTCGGCCTAACATGTACGTTACGGATAACGTAAACGTTCAATCCTAGCACCCAATAACTTGTATAATTTGAAATAATGTCACATAATATCATAGGAACATCAACATTTTCTAATCGACTTCAAGAAAATCATTTTGATCTGTTAAAAGGTTTATCTCATGACATTCTTGATTGCTTTAATATCTTACATAAATACAATTTAAAATGGTTTCGAAGTGTCTATTCCATAGAATACTTGATTGTCATCATTAAATTCTAGGATATCTACTTTTTCATGTTTAGTAACTGCATTTTTATTTTATACATACATTAATTTTATAAAAATTCAAAAATGAACCAACATATCTTTGTAACGAATCTGTTAATAGGGCCAAGTCTTCTCACCTCAGAGTAAAGTTGAAAGTAACTACTTGCTGATTAAACTATAGGAATAATGTTTGTTAATCTGTCAAGTAAACCTACATGTAACTTTACTCAGAGGTTAAAAGATCCGACCCTTAACAGGTATTTTAAAGTTTATATTTAATAGCCCTTTGAAAGAATATATATAAATTTTTTTATAAAATAAAAATATTGTTAATTCAACACTAAATTCATATTAAAATTTACTATACGAATAATCACCGAACAATAAATAATAATAACAACTTTGCATAAATATTTATTATTTGTAAACTTTTTGGTCAGTTCTTTTTTAGATAAATAATATGCTCCATGTCCAATAATCAAGCCTTTTGTTATATCGTTTAAGAATTACTTTTTCTAAGCATATGACAAACGGCTTGCGTGAGAAAATGGTGGAAATTTCTAGATTTTCTTGTCAGCTTTTTGTTGAATAAATTATAAAGATATAAATAATATGATGGCCATGTCCGACACTCAAGCCTTTTGTTATATAGTCTTAGAATCACTTTTTCTAAGCATATGTCAAACGGCTTGTGTGGGAAAATTGTGGCAATTTGCATACATTTTTCCAGCAACTTTCCCATGTTCTGAAAATATGAAGACCACGCTCTGCACTCAAGCCATTATTTTTTTCTGGTCTCTTAAATTCATAAGTTTTTATTGCAAAAAATTTCGTTGATGGGAAAATAACTGAAAAATCGAAAAAAATTTCTGTTAAATTTTCCAACCTTAAAATGGACTTATCCACTCACGCCACTCAAGCCAATATGTTTTTCGGACTAGTTACGATGTATGTTTTCATACTCTCGATTGGCTTGTGTGGAAAAATCGGTTAACATTTCGATTTTTCTTTACAAGATTACGCCCTTATTTCAACCCTTTAGCCACTTGCAACATTAAAGCCATTGATTTTTCGAAGCCTAGTTCTATTAAATAATCATATAGTGAAAATGGCTTGCGTGGAAAAATGACCAAAAAACACCTTTTATTTCTGTTAAGGAAAATCGAATTTTCCATATGTTATCCCCAGGGGCCGCTCGTAAATTTTCTTTCATTCTACTCAAAATCGATGTACTTTTCAACCCTCTTCGAGGCTTGCATGCGAAAATGGGGCACCTAAATCAGTCACTATCTGACGGTCTATAACCTTAACTGTAGAAAATATAGAGTCAGATAATAAATGTAATTTAGATGTAAAAAGTCTTCAGTTAAGTCTTTTTTAATTTTACTTATTGTCTCTTGAGATATCAGCGTCAAATCGGGAAATTTTTCTTGAAATAGGCGAATAACTTTGATCTCTGTGTTATCTCCATAACCAATCATTTGTAAAATTATTATTTTATGCATTTCTGTTACATAAATCATGTTTCTGTTATACAGTTAATAAATTCTAGTGACCCCACCGACAGTAGTTAATGTCATGCGGTTTCAATCACGCAGCAAGTTTCTAAGCCGTTTTAAACAAAATTAAGAGTGCCCAACTATGAAGAATACTGATAAATTGTTGACATTGAAATTGTTTCTGCTTACTTTCTCATTATCAAGAATGAAACTCTATTCGTTATTGTTTAGGGTGTTTTAGCGAATTTCTTCGATCAAATGTATTTATTTTTTACTGTTAATTTTTTTTAATAAATTTGGAAATCACATCATCTTTGAACAGAGAATGAAGGATCCTCTCAAATGAGGTATCACAAGCCCGTACTTAATATTTAAACATTTGGTGATTTCAATTCATTCGAAGGAGGTTGAAGGTAGGGATGAAATTTTCACGTTGTAGGATGTCATTTTATAATCTAAAATTGACGTGTTTCGGGATTTTTTACGAATATGCGCACAGTAGTTGAGCCTCCGCATTTATTTTATTGGACTGGTCATTTTTAAAATTTTCAATAGTACATAAATTAAAAAAAGTTGTTAAGTATATTTTTTTTTATAAAAATAAAAATCAAAAATATGAAACAAGCTTTTTAAACAAATTACTTATGTGGATATTCATTATATTTTTTTGGAATCTATATCTCAAACAAACAAAATCAGACAAATTACCTAATTTAATTTCGCGCATGCGCACAACACTTTTCAACTGTCGAATAGTTTGTTTGGACGAGTTAACTTTTCAGACTTGTCCATCGGCCATGTCTGTGGACTTTTCCGAGCGACCCATCACTATTACCTTTAATTAAAATTAAACGCAACTATCTCAACTTTCTTTGCATTTTGTAACAAACAAAAAAATTCCGTCGTAGAATCAAGTATTTGTACAAGCATCGTTTATTTTTGCCTACCTGTATTGTAATCTCCAGGCTCCGCCTCTTTTTCCCGCTCATATAAACTTCTCTTTGATCTAGAAAACTCCTTTTCTTTGGAAGTTAGCACAAGCTGCCTATAGCGCTCGACGTGTTTGTCGATGAATTCTTTGGAAGTTTGCGATAACTCTCTTGATGCAGACTCACCTGTGCAATATAATAATGTTCTCTATTAAGATTTTTTGCTTGTTTTTTTTTAATATTTTTTAAGTTGAAACGGGAGATCTGAGTATAAGATTGTTTTGGAATCTTTAAGTATATTGGTGTCATTTAATTTATGCATATTCCATTTAGTTTTTAATGGGCTATAAAACATCGTTGTTTGGATATGAAACAAATTGAACTTTTCTACATACTTTAATCTAAGCAAGATAATATTTTGGAATTTTTTAATGAGTACAGGGTGTCCTAAAAAAAGTAGACTAATCTGTTAATCACAGATTCCTTAGGTCAGTGTAAGAAACCTCTTTTATTATTTTTATTATTATTTTTTTCGATTGGGGCCATCATGCTCAATATACAAGGTGACAAAGTTAATTTTAAAAATAAGTTTTTCGTTATATTTTCGTCGTTTCATAGTAGATTGCTTAAAATTAGTAGACCGGGGTTTCTTAGAATGACAAATCATAATTTGAGCCTAAATATCACCTACCTCATAGAGGGCGATAGTTGCAATGTGTTTATTACCTTTAACCCTCCCTAACTTTTTGTGTACGCCAATGGTGGTTACGTAATATCAATCTGTTTTAGATATTTTCATGTTCTACGTTTTTTGTCTCTTCCTTTTTTACCGAAAACCGCTTAGTTTTGTAAATATTTTGTGTTTTATAACGTCTTGTTTGCCAAAAAACCTGATATCCCAGCTAGCACATAACGTTGCCAAGCCTTTTGGCGATGTTGCATTAAGGGAACGTAATAACATTACTATACAACGTAAATGCAACGTTCATGAGAAGCTGTTGAGAGAAATCAAAACCTCGCAAAACTTCCTATTTGTTATTTACCTAGTTAACCTACCTGTTATGTAATAAAGTAATTTGCTAAAATAGTATCCACGAGAAGTACCGTGAACATAACAATTTTGAATTCGGAACGTTTATAATTATGTCAATTGTCAGTTTTTCTTGTCATTTGTCTTTTCTTTTTTGATGGTTTATTTTTTGACTTCCAGAATTTATTTTACAAATAATTATTATTTATACATTCGAGTAGATTTCGTAAGGTCCGTATAAAATAGAAAACTATTTTCTAAACCATTGTCTTTGTTTCAGATTACAATGCCTGATGTAAATTTATTATTTCATTCATTAGGTATACAAAATGGTTTAACTACAAATAAAATCAAAGAATTGCAGATAAGTCGTTGTAAACATTTAACCGAATGTCCGGTAACATTTTACACCAAATAAAAGGTAATTATACTTAATCGAACTAAAAATACATTTTAAAAATATTATATTTTAGGTTTTCTTTGACATTCTAGGAATTTTAGAAGCAAAAGTAAATACTACAGAATTGTCTAAAGAAGAATATATAACAGCTGATATTTTATAAAAAGTGAATCTATAGGTACATGGTGTGTCAGGTATATCAGAATTCAAGCAGTTCATTCTCTTCAACAGGCTAGATGTGCCTGGAAATGTAACCATCAGTTGAAGTGCAAACTCAGAAGAAAAGTTGAGAGAAATCATAGATGATGCTCTTGAGTATAATAGAATATCTTGCTAAAAAACACGAGTTGTTTTTTATAAAATCTGCATATATCTTGGAAATCAAGCATAAAATTTGTAAAATTCAAACAAATTTCAATATACTAACATTGGTTGTTTTATTTAAAACAACAAAGCAAGGCATATTTTTTAATTTCTATATAATTTCCTTTAATAATAGTTATTTTTTTTTTATTCAGTGTATTGAAAAGTAAAATCTTTTTATATCAAAAAAATAATTTATGCTCTTCTAATAAATTGTCATATTTAAGTTACATTATAGCATTTTATAAATATCTTTACAAAAAAATTTAAAATGCTTGATTTAAAAAAGATGATATATCTCTGCGTCTAGAGGTAAGAAATCAGGGAACTTAGCTATATTTATTTTAAATTAAAAAAAAAGTTATTTTTCTTAATTTCTCAATGTGAATCGAATTTATTTAACAAATAAAAGAAATTATGAAGAATTACTTTTTTTTAATTTAAAATAAATAATATTTTCACAAGTAAAGTTACGCCCATTCGTGAACACACTGTATAATGCTGTAGAACTAATTCACATTATAACATCTATAGAACGTTTCAGAGCAACTTTCGAGGCAAGTATCGTAAAAGTGCTAGTGTGATGATTTTCGAACTTCACTTTGTGAGATGTGCTATAAAAGTCTTGCCGTTGCGGACATTCGGCGGTTGCAGGGATATTAGGGTTACATTAAAAGTACATCGCATGTGAGCTTAAAGAGCCTAAAATTGCAGCTTATTAACGTAGATGAGATGTTTTTGTGATAGCTGGGATAATAAGTCCAACATACAAAAAGTCATGAAACATCAGTTATTTCAAGGAAAAACAACATACAGAATAAAACATATAAAAACAACAATAACACTAAAACTAATTAATATTATTACATTTTCAAAATGACTTCTCTTATGTGCTCTTTTGATTAACGAAAACCAAACATTCTGAAAAACTTTGGTTTCAAACTGAATTTATTCGTACCCTGCAAAATTATCTCTCCTAAATGTGTTTCATTTTCTATTGGAACCATATAAACAAAGACTTTCATAGCTCCCCAGAATGCTCCCCAGATCGAGGTGGCCAGTGAATAGGTACATTCTGTACCCTGCCAATCCAACGGTTCAAAAAAACTTTCGTTTACAAGATTCCTTACAATTTGCGCGAAATGTGGGGAAGCTCCATCAATTTGAAACCAAATGTTTCTGCGTATTGCTAGAGGGACATCTTCAAATAAATCGAGCAGGGTATTTTTTAAAAACAAGAATTATTCGCCGTTTAAATTATGTGGCAAAAAAACAGTACCCAATACAAAATTGTCAATTATGCCTGCCCACACATTTGCCATAAAATTTACTTGATTATGTATCTCAATAACAGCGTGCGGATTTTCTTCTGCCCATACATGAATATTATGTACATTTGTAAACCCACTGCGCGTAAAAGTGGCTTCGTCAGTAAACAAAATAAATCTAATAAAACGAATATTTCGGTTATTTTCCTGCAATAGCCAATTACAAAACGCAGCTTTTGGCCCAAAATCTTGTGGAAGACGAGATTGAACATTTTGGACATGGTAAGAATAAAGTGATTGGATTTTGAGGACTCTGTGTACATAGATTTATTATAATTTAGTACTTGTCTTGAAATTAATCTAGTACCGGGATTCTCATGTACCATTTATTTGCTCTTCCTGATAGGCGGTAAAACGACATGATCGTCCACAACTTTATGAAAATTTTTTTGTGTAGGTGATGCCTATTAGAGAATAGTGTAGGCAAGTTGAAACCAGAGATAACAGAAATATAACCATTTATTAATAAAATATAATATTAACGATGCCAAGATTAATTTGACAATAAATACGCTCTGTTTGTAGGGACGCGGTGAGAAGACGAAATGTGAGAAGTATCAGAGGAGATAAAGAGAATAATTTTACGCAAATCCAACTTTTTTTATCAATGAATAAATGTGTAAGACGCTGTGCGTTTACAATAAACAACGTAAATATCCATGGCGGTGTACGTCCTGTTGCCACTTCCAACCTAACATTACTAGGTTTTGGAATTTATTGAAAATTATTACCTCTAATTTAGTGAAATTACCTCTAATTTAGTTAAATTTGATATAACTAATAATTCAATATTTTTTAGGTTCAGTTGCAATAAAATAGTTTGAATTATTTTAGCTTTTTTAATATATGTAAATAATTTTGTAACCAAAACGAGAATAAGGTATATGACAACAGCGGATTTTATATCCCCCTGTGTCCCTTAGAATATGTCTTATTCAGGACCGCACGATATTTGTTAGTAGTTCACCTCCTGTTATCTCTGGTGGGAACGTATGAATAATATGGCCCTAGATGACATACTAAAAGTCCTGTTGATTCTGACAATGGCAAGTTGCCAAACAGTGACCGCCATTTTGATCTTTTCAGTTATTGCATGTATCTCAAAAACTTTTCAAAGAGATATTATGTTTTTTCCCTACGAGCATGCGGAAAAGTGCATTTTTACTTTTCCGCACTGTTTATAGTATCCCTATAATTTTTAGTTTTAAATTTATAGAGTGCGAAAAAGTATCGTGCGGGAAAGTTACTATACTGCACTCAGTGCGGAAAAGTTACTTTTCAGCATGTTTTTTAAACTTGGTTCAAAACTACAAACTTATTAGGTATTTACCATTATGAGTATTTTTCTCTGTTAATAACAACGTATCTTCAATTATTTGGTTAATGGGTAGCTAATATTTTCTTCACTAAAAAGTCGTTTTGTGTTTTATATGATTCAGAATTTACAACTAGCAGTATAATGTCTCTGCCTTTCATAAACTTAGATCCTTCCAGTCTTTGTTTGCAGCTAAAAAAAGCCGCAAGTATAATAAGCCCTTCGACCAACCCTCTTTTTTTAAAGCAGTGGACATTGTAGAAGGGTCTAACTCGGATAGTATCTTCTAAAGTTATAGTCAGACTCGGCGGCTTTCATACTCTTAGTTCGTTTATGGGAAGCATTGGCAAGTTAGTGTACGGCCTGGAATCGAAGAGCTTTGGCAACTGATATATGCAAAAAATACAGTTCCGTACATGCTTTCGGACTATGCATATGCACGAGCTTTAAGATGTAATTTTCTTACACAGGAAGCTCTTGGTTTACTACTACTGCATAATGTGCTTTTGATGTTTCCTTATAAACCTGATAGATATTTGCAATAAAATATAAAAACAAAATAACGGCCGTATTTTTAAACTTGCCATAGACATATTCTATGGAACGTTTAGTATGTTGTTTAGAACGTTACTCATCGTGCATTTTTGTTGACAGGGTGTTTCAAAAATGTCAGAAAGAAGGTATGTCAGAAATTCTTCCTCAGATAGATTACCAAAAAATAAGTGGATTTGGCTATATATACCTATATCA